AGTTAGGCGGGCACGCCTGGGGTGACAAATTTTGAAATCGTACGACGCCTGAAGAACGTCAAGGAGGTCACCGGTCATATTAGCATGGTTATACGACTCACAATAAGTATAAACTAACCATTGTTTACGAGATTTCTTTCTTCAATAGTTTTATTTTAAGTAATAAAACTACCTCACTTACTGGCGGTAGCCAAGGCTTTCAAACGAGTCGTACCTTACTTACTGGCGGTAGCCAGAGTGTTCGAATGAAACATACCTTACTTACTGGTGTTAGCCAGGGTTTTCAAACAGAACATACCTTACTTACTGGTGTTAGCCAGGGTTTTCAAACAGAACATACCTTACTTACTGGTGGTAGCCAGGGTTTTCAAACGGAACATACTTTTCATACGGTAATCAACAAACATGTTAGAAAATATTGGATTTGCTTGGAAAGCATGCATACATAATTCAGAACTTGATAACAAAGGTTTTCGATACAAACGATATTTTACTTATAATGAAAAGAAATCATTTGTACAAATTCAGTGACTAGTTTTCAATATAAAAACATGTTTATGAACTCACCAGCTTTATGCTGATACGTTTCAAAACCGCTTGTATTCTCAGGACAACAATAGACAGGTACCCTTGCCAGCTTTTGGAGAAGACGGAGCATCTTGGAGTCTCGTCTTTATCTTTTACTTTTGTTACATGCTGACATGTACAAACTATGCTTTCAAACAGATGTAAATATTCATATAGTAATGTAATGGTTGTGTTTACTTTGATTGCTATGATTCGATTGTTGTGATACTACGCATGACGTCAGCCGCCCCCGGACATTTCCGCCGTCCGTTCTGACGGTTCGGGGTGTGACAACAGCCTTCTTGTACGGAGTCGTGAAGGAGCAGATTTATGTTGATCAACCCCTAGGGTTTGTCAATCCAAAGTTTCCTAATCATGTTTACAAGCTGGAAAAGGCCCTATATGGTTTGCATCAGGCTCCTAGAGCTTGGTATGCTACTCTAACTGAACATCTGCTTGAGCACGGATACACAAGGGGAATAATCGATCAGACATTATTCATCAAGAAATTGGATGCATATTTTATTGTCGTACAGATCTACGTAGACGACATCATCTTCGGGTCGACCAGCACCGAGCTATTCAAAGAGTTCGAGGATGTAATGAAGAAACGATTTAAGATGAGCTCGCTGGGTGAGATGACAATATTCCTAGGGTTACAGGTTCGACAGGATTCGACCGAAATTCTATTGCATCAAGGCAAATATATGGAAGACATACTAGAAAAGTTCGGTTTTAAAGATTCAAAAATTGCTTCAAGTCCAATGGCAGAAAGACCACTGTTGACTCCAGATCTAGATGGGGAATCCGTAGATCAAACTGAATATCGATCGATGATCGGATCTATGATGTATCTGACTGCCTGCAGACCTGACATCATGTTTTCCGTCTGTCAATACGCTCGTTATCAGGCTAATCCTAAACTTTCCCATTTAATTGCTGTTAAAAGGATTTTTAGGTACCTTAAAGGTAGTCCTAAACTGGGTCTTTGGTATCCAAAAAATCCCGATTTCGATTTATATGCTTTTTCTGACAACAATTATGGAGCGTGTGATCTTGACAGGAAATCTACATCGGGTGGATGTCTGTTTTTAGGGGACCGATTAGTGTCATGGCAATGCAAGAAACAACAAATAGTGTCGACCTCCACGGCAGAGGCTGAATACGTTGCCGCCTTAGCCTGCTGCTCTCAAGTTATATGGATTAAACACCAATTGCTGGATTACGGTTTCAACTTTCTTGACACTTCCATTTTTTTTGATAATGATGCGGCCATTCAAATTGCTAAAAATCCGGTACAAAATTCCAAAACCAAGCACATTGACATTAAAATTCATTTTATTCGAGACTGTTATGAGCGTAAACTCATTCGTTTCGAACAAATTCACACTGATAACAACGTGGCGGATTTGTTTACCAAACCCTTTAGTAAAGCTCGTTTCGATGTGCTTGTGGGCTTTCTAAAAATTATTCATTTCGAAGATTAAAATTCCATTTTTTATTTTTATTTTTTTTCTTGTGTGTTTAAATTTGCGCATTTCTTTATTTAATTTCTTCTCCATGCACAAATTTAGGGGAGAAATCAAAAATACAAAAAATTTAAAAAATTTAAAATTAAAAAAAATAAAAAAAACATAAAAAATACAAAAATATATTTTCTTTCGTAAGTATTCTTGGGAAGTGATATGAAGTTTAGTGCTAAAGGGCAATTTGAGAGGCGTGCAATGCATTGAAGCTGGATTATTTAGACTCTGTGTTCAATGTGCTGGTAGGCATGAAGGATTCAAATTAAAGGACTAGACACAATTGAAAATGAAAGGACTTGAAAATGTTATCTCATCTAGACTTAGATAGTTACATTTGGACTGACCATATGACGGTTGGATAGATTAAGCAGTGAGATAAACAAGGGAGCCTACAAGATACATTAAAGTTACTTATCATCTAGAACTGTGGCTCAACATTTCTTCGATGTACGAACTTATGTCCTTAATTCTAGTGCTGATAGGGTGACTGGGGGTTCTGATAATGTATGTCGGTGTGAAATTGTTTTTCTTTCTTATCCTCTCTGTCAGTCATATGTTGCCCCCTTTGCGTGATCGGAAGATCCGACCTGGGACGCAACATATGCACTCTATTTCCATGCATCTCTATCTATGATTCTCTCTATCTATCTATGTCAGTCATATGTTGTCCTCTTTACGTGATCGGAAGATCCGACCTGGGACACAACATATACAACTTTCTATTTCTCTATTCCTCTATATGTGTTAGTCATATGTTGTCCCCTCTGTGTGATTGGAAGAGATCCGACCTGGGGCACAACATATACATCTCTATTTCTATCCTCTCTCAAATAATTGAGCACCCACCTAAAGTAAAGAGTTTTTTTTTGGAATTCCTTGATTGCTAGGGTATGTCGTGAACTGGGGAACACGTTCTAGTGCACTTAAAATTGAATTAACTAAAGGTTGTTTGTAGATCTCGCTGCTGAATTTAAGTGGACAACAATATCATTGGTCGTCGTCAGCAAAATGGTTTATTTAGGAATATTATTTAGAAATATAATCGCAATGTCTTGTCATTTATTATCTGTCAAATTTGTCAATATCCTGTGTGTTTAAGTGGACCACAATACTAGTGATTGACCAGAGCTATTCATACTGGTGTGTGCTGATAAAACTTATTAAATTGCTCGAGAACTCTTGATCCCAAAATGTTTGAATTTTTTAAGTGTGTTTGTTTTATTTTAAATTTTTATTTTTTAATTTTATTTTTTTCTTATTTGGCTTTTTATTTGTTTTCATTTTAGATTATGGAAATTTTAAATTTTATTTTATTTCATTTTAATTTTTGTTTGACACTTATCTTCAAATTTATTTTATTCCAGCTATCATTCGATTTTATTTCAGATTTGTTTTGTTTATCTTCGAAATTAATTGAAGTTATTAAGCCCAATGTTTTCGGTGGCCCAAAAGGCCAAAAACCCATTTTTTTGGGATATAAAAGCTTTTCTTTCCATCTCAGATTTTCAAATTCCCAAAATCAATTCTTCTCTCAAAACCCTAAGCAAATTGTTGTTGTTTATCGGAAAAATACTCTTTCATCTTCAGTTTAAATATCATCAAATCTCTTTTGGTTTCTTGAAATTTTCTCAAGGTATATATAATTCGAACATCATGCTTCACATTCTACTGTGTTTTGAAGTATTTGCAGGTGATTAATGGCGTTTTCCGGTGTATTGACGGTGTTTTCCGGCGTAACTGTCAAGGATATGTCTCGTCGGGTTTTCTCGGGTTTTCAGTTTGATTCGGATCCGACATAAAACCATTTGTTTTGGCCGAAATCGTTCCATCTGACCGAAAACAACATGTTTGACAGAAAACGTTTGGTCAAAAGTAATTTTACCGAAACCGATAAAATTAATAAAAAAAGGGAGAATGACCTTGACCGAAAACTCGTAAAGGAATAATCTTGACCGAAATCACCATAGTTGACCGAACTTTAAAGTTTTAAAAAAAAATTTAAAGTTAAATAAATTTTTTTAATTTTAATTTTATTTAAAATTTATTGTTCTCACTTAATTTGTTTGGTGTAGATAAATGGCGGAGCAGTTGAGATTTGTTGATACTCACAACATCACAGGATATCTTTTGGATCCACCCGTCGCGCATAATGAATTCAAATCCATGATCGTGGGTTTGAATAATTGCAGGATTTCCCATGACTTGTGTTCTAATCCAGTCATCTACAAGGACCTAGTTACTGAGTTTTGGAAGAATGCCTCCATCAACAAGCATGGAGCAGATGGAGTTGGTTCTGTTGAATCAATGGTGAAGGGAACTCAAGTAATTGTTTCCAAGCAAATTTTCCGAAAGGTGCTTCAGTTTAGTGATGTATCTGCATTTCCAATTAAGTATACTGTTAATCAAGTAAAGGGAGCCCTTGAAAAGATGTGTTATGAAGGAACTTATCCTCCCACCATCAAGAAACTGTTGCCACCTTTCTGGAGGTTTCTGGCACATTGCTTTGTGATCTGCACTTCTGGAAGGAAGAGAGGAACTGATGAAATTAGTCAGACTGCAACCTCTGCCGCTGTGGCTCTTGCAATGGACTGGGATTACAACTTTTCGAAGTTTGTCTTTGAAGAAATGAAAATCAATCTTCAAGGAAAGAAGAAGGACCTGTTCTTGATGTATCCTAGGTTCTTTTAAATGATCTTCAATGAAAAATACTCCCAAATTGAGAGTTCATCTGACACTTTGGATATGAAAGCTTTGGGTCCTCATACCTTTGGGCTCATGAAGCAGTCAAGAAAATCAGCCAAAGTCGCTTTTCAAGGATTGAAGGAGTTGGTTAAATTTGGAAAATTTGCAGAGACAGAAGGTGTCCAAGTTTCTAGTACTCCTATTGCTATAGTAGCAGAAGAACATATGACACCGTCAAGGTCAAATATCAGTAGTTCGGTTGAAGTCTCTGATGATGATGATGATGATGATGATGATGATGATGATGATGATGATGATGATGATGATGATGACCATGATGATGATGATGATGATGATGATGATGATGATGATGACTCCGGTGATATTGGTGATATGATTTTTCGTTTGTCTGTTCCACCAAATGAGCCAGTCAATAAAGCTGTGATTACTCCAGCTGAGACTGAGACTGAAATCAATATTTTCAGGAAACCGGATATTCCAACACCCGAACAGATGGATGCACTTATCAAAGAACTACAGTCTACTGCAAAGAAGCCTCCCCAAGCAGTTTCTATTACTATTGAATCTCCATCTAAGAGTGATAAAGATGAATCAAATGCCTCCATGCTGCCAAAGAAGCGAAGACTGAGAGATCCAAGGTCGTGAGTGCTTATTACTGAGCCAGTACAACAATCAGTTTTTATAGTTGAACCAGCCCAGGTTCTAGCAGATGTTCAAAGCCCAATCATTGAACCAGCCCCGGTCCAAGAAGATGTTCAAGGTCAAATTGATGAATCATCACAAGTTCATCAAGATGCTTAGAGCCCCAATTTTGACAATGACTTTAATTTCGTAGCAAATGAGGAAACATTTGCTTCAAGAAGTTCTTCTGCTCCACCACCTCCAGAGCACGATGTTGTACATTAAGCTGGCCAAGATTCTTGCTTTTCAAGACTCTATTCCTCAGTCGAGAGGAAAGGGTATATGTATTGGTTCTGGACAAGGAGATGATGAGGACTCACAACACACTATCTCTGAGCTTAGACAAAAGATACTGATTTTGAAGCAGGATTCCATTGAAAAGGATCTGCTAATCGGGAAGTTGGATGTGAGAGTTTCGGACCTAGAAAAGGAAAATTCTGAAAATAATAAACAGATCTCAGAACTCCAAGCTAATCTTGGTGGACTAACAGCTTTCTACTTTGATCTCAAAGAAAAACTGATTGGAAAGTTTGGTGATGAGTTCAAGTCATCTAGTTCTTAGAGTGGAAAAGCACCTGAGACTTCTGAGAGGGTGGTGATTAGACCTAACCCAGATTCCAACATTGATCAATATTTATCTTCTGGCCCTGCTACAACAGAAGAGAGAAGGGAGAAACAGAAGAAAGTAAGTGTGTTGAGGAAAAATAAAATGCTTCTGATGAAGAATTCTGATCAGAATGCAGCTGTGATTGATATTACGATATTTATACATGTTTTTAGGAAATATTTAAGTACATTTTTATTAATATTTTGGTTATTTGCATAGAATAATGATACTTATAAGGTTAAATTGTACTTTGCAGCCAAATAGAAGACATTTTGAAGAAAAGGGACTAAAAACGTCAGAACATGGAACTTTGGAGGCTTGGAGAATAAAATAGAAGGAAGCTTACGTAATCTCCTATATTCACGTCGTGAGATTTATAGATCACGACGTGAGCACGAACCTTCCAGAAGATAAACAACGCGAAGAGAAGTCCTTGTCCAACACGTATATATACTATTCACGTCGTGAGACATATACATTCACGACGTGAGTGCGGAAAAATCATGAACTATATATACTCTTGCTCATTACGACTTGAGGGACTTTTGGCTAATTGAGGAAGTTCCTGGAGATGAATTGCAGAAGTAGAAGTGTTCTGGAATTGGCTTTCAACACCAAAGGAGAAGAGAAGTTCATAATTGGATTCTAGTTTTGGTACTATAATTATGTTTTTGAGTATGAGTTATTTGAGTTTGTTTGCTAGTATGTCCAGCTAAATCTAGCTGCTTCTGTTAGCTAGATGAAGCTGGAACTCATGGTTTCAATAACGTAGTTTTGATTTACTTGTTGGTTATGACTTGTGTTTGATTGATTGAACCTAGCATGTTTGATTTAGTATTTGATTGTTTAAATTCTTGTTCTGTGTAGTTAGTGAATATGAATCTGCATGAATTTGAATACCTAATAATTCAGTGAACACTAGGTTATTAGAGATAAGATCAAACCAATCTTAGAAAAGTAATTAATTATTAAAATTAGGTTGTGCTAGAGAACTCATATTATGACCATAAGCGTGTTTTTCAAATCAATCTTACATGGCTCCAATTCCATTTAATAATTGATTTTGTGTTAGCTACTGTGTGACCATACATATGTTTACATGAATTAATTAAAGTTAGTAGATTTAGAACTAAATTGCTAATGCTATCTTAATTGGTAACCAACGGTAATTGTCATAGCTAATTTACAAACCATTGAGGGAAAGTGGATTCGAACTAACATAAGTGTTTTGTTTACTGATTGAATTTTGTGTTAAGATATTAAGTTCATCTAAAATTGAAAAATTAGATAAAACCCCCATCTTTGCTATAAAATTAGGTTAATTTAATAGTAGATAGGTTAATTAGTCAAAACCGTTCCCTGTGATCGACACCCGACTTACCCAACTATTCTATAATTTGACTAGGTACACTACCTAGGTGTAATATAATTAGTTAAGTTAGTTAGGTTATAAATTTAAAACTAGGTGTAGCTATTTGCACGCATCAGTGATCAACCTCAGATGTTCATTAAAGAAGTTGGGAAAAGAAAATTTGTTGATAGATACGGAGATCGTTCAGGTATTCGCATGTGGGGATTTGAAGCTGACAAGAATATGTGGGTTGTGAAACGGAGGAGCGGAAACATTGAATACTATGAGAAGAAGGTTGATTCTTTATCTTGGACAAAAGTTGATCTTGCAGAGCTCGTCTATGCTCCATTTCACAATCCTACAAATGATCCACATGCCTGGGCGTTTAAAAATTTTCTAGAAGACAAATCGAGGCATCACTTTGTAGGCGTGTCGACAACGTCCTCATTCGTTAGAAAGGTTAAGGGTGTCATCGGTCCGCGCACCAACAAAACCATGCTAAACGTTATGTGGCCGCCTACAAAGAAATCGAAAAAGATTCCTCTCTCTCAGCCTATACTTGATGGCTCTTTAAATGATCTTGAATATTGGGCATATGATGAGGCAACAACCACTGTGGTGATCAAGACTAAAAAGGTCCAGTTCCGTCTTGTTGATCCTAGGGATTTGCTGAGACTTGGTGAGCGTGACATGCACACTTTATCCAGGAATCAACTTATGGTGGAAAATGAAATGTTCGAGGCTGCTGCGAAAGAATTTACCGGCATGATTACAAAGATTATTGATCAGAGGTTGTGGGCGGGAGCTTTAGCTAGTTCTGATGTTCATCTTGTGGAGAAACCATAAAGCAAACCAGCAATAAACCAAGGGGGAGATTGTTGGGTCATATTTTTGTGGTTTATGTTGGGCTTATCTTGTTAATTGTTCTTGGGCTTAGATTAGTATTTTATTATTGGGTTTATTATGTTTTCAGTTGTAAGGACCAAAATCACTATGGTGATTTCGGTCATGATGGGCTTGGACCTTTTTATGGCATTGTATTTGGCTCACATATATGTAGGTGTATACAGCCGTATAGGAGTTTAGTTGTTCAATTCTCTAGTTCACGACTGCTTTAGATTTCATATGTACCATACGATTTATTCCTAATAGAATCGTGTGCATTTGAAGTGAATTTGTGTGTTCTTGAATAGTTGCTTAATTAACATTCCGCATTCTTTGAGAAATTAAGATTGATATTGCATAAGATTCATAGTTTTGGAACTTACATGAGCCCCTTAAGCAGTAAAGTTTCGATCTTTAAGGTCCATTTGTGACCATGCATGAGATCTAGCCATTTCCATGGAAGTTACTTGCTATATTCCAAGTTTGGGTTCATTTGGTGGGTTGCAAGCCACCAAGTAGTCGACTTTATGAGTTAAGACATGCTAAGCGACTCAGATTTGTAATATGGGATTAAGGTCTTAATGCAATAAGCATTTTTGAAGTTGATGGCTTAACAGGGTAACACGTAGGGCGTGCAAGCTAGTATGCGCAGCATACAAGCCATGCAGCAGTACGCTTAGCATACAGAGGAGTACGCCCAACGTACTCTCAGGATTTGGGCATTGTGACGTTTGGGCCTCGGTTTAGGCCAATCTTTGGACTTAGTAGTTATTGGGCCTTAATGGGCCATCAGAAGTCAGATAACGGACCACAGACATGTTTAGGCTTAAAGGAAGGCCCATTTGAGGAGTTGGGCCCAATTTAGAAAATTGGACCATTAGTGGGCCATTAGTGAGCTTCAAAAGATTAGAAGGAATTGGGCCTAGGTTATGGTCTAAATTAGATCAGGGGGTATAATGGTCATTTTACCCTAAGAAGAACTATTGGATTTTGACTAAGTGTTGTTGATAATGATAGTCGGGGAGTCGCGGGAGCAGCCGATAGAGATTCCTTACCGAGAGGTTCAGCAGCCAACTTTGTGAGGTGAGTTTTCCTCCAGTAGGAATGGGTCGAAGGCACCAACGCCGACCCGTTTATTTATGTAGCATTTGCCGGATTTAGGTCTGATGCTGGGGTTAGCCCGATGTAGATTATATGTTTCCGGACTTCGGTCCGATGTCGGGGAAAGCCCGAGGAATGTTTGTATGCTTGATGTCTTCATGATTCTTGCATGTGTTTGTTTATATGTTCCAGAATTCGGTCTGATGTCGGGACAAGCCCGAGGAATGTTTAGCTTATATGTTATGTTTATATGTTCCGGGCTTTGGTCCAATGTCGGGGCAAGCCCAAGGAATGTTTTATATATTTATGTTATATGTTTATGTTATATGCTTGATGATATGTGATATGTATACCGGACTTCAGTCCGATGGCGGGCGGGGCTCGATGCCGGACTTCGGTCCGATGTCGGGCGAGGGCTCGATGTAGTGGGCAAGGCCTAATGTATGTTATTATGTGATTATGTGTATGATATGTGGTAGTTTGGGGAGGCTCACTAAGCTTCGTGCTTACAATTTTCAGTTTTGATTTCAGGTACTTCCGGTAGCAAGGGGAAGAGCTCGGGATGATTGCAGTGCACACACCATTTGTTAGCCTGGGATATTTATGCTCTGATATATTTTGACAGATGTTATGATATTTTGAGATACACTAATTATGATTTTTATATGATGTTTGATGACTTATGGATTTCTTAATGATTTAAAATGAAATTTTTGGACTGTATTTTTGGGATGTTTCACTGAAGCTCACCAACTCTTCAACACAGTAAACAGATTGTGGAAAAAAGAAAACATCCATCCCATAGTTGGCTACAAGTTCAAAACAACCCAAATAAAAACTTAAAACTAAAAAAAACAAACAATAAAAACTAAATAAAGGATTAATAATCATCCTCGTCCTCTTGCGCCCCACTTGGTCCAGCTCCGTCTCCTTGCCTTGTCCACAACTATTCCCGGGTTGGAATGTATGGGTAATGAGGCGGCATTGTTGGAGGTCGCTCCACATTAAGATGAGTAAACAAGACATCAATAGCTTGATTGTGGTAATTGACACACCCACAGAGATTGTCTAAATAAGTACCAACCCGACTTTGAAATGGGTCGGTTGGTACCCCACCCTATAATCTTTGAGGTGGGCGTTGTGGTTGGCTCCTTTCCGCACGGGCTCTAACATTTCGCCTACGCCTTTGTCGTAGTTGTTCTTCTTGTTAACAAATGGGTTGCTCAACATCTTCCGGAGGTATCATAAATCCCCCACCCATATTCACCACTACCCGTATAACACTCAAGAATTGAACTGACAAGTCATTATCCTTGAACCGTGTAAGGTTCCTAATAAAATTAGGACTCAAAATACCATAAGAACAAGCGAGCCGAGTGACCAAATGTCTACCCGTAATGGGACTACCGGGCCGAGAACTAGCCGCCTTCTTCCCCAAAAATCGTGCAAGCATGTATGGTAGGTCACAAAAAACTCCGGGTGTAATAATGCTCCAAAGATAAAACAGATTTTGTGTTGGCACCTTATCCTTGTGTTGCTTATGGTTAATGGAGAAAGTGATAAGACGATGTAGAAACCAGTAAATGGGAGACTGAGTTTGGCCTTCACAATCATCACA